CACACACACATTGTCAATCAATTTCCAGCGATAAAGCCATTTGTATTTGCCTTCGCCGTGAATGAAACGTGCGTGATTTGATGTTCGGGTTCTGGGTAAACAGCATGGCGGGGGACTACCAGAGCGCTTCCGCCGGCGCAAGTGCGCTCGGACCAAGCGCGTCGCGGTCGGTAACGACGGAGTGTCTGTCAGTGGAGGTACCATTGCGATATCCCCACGGCAGTTTCTAGGCACCATCACCTAGCCTTGTTCTTGGTCATGTCCGTTGTGCGAGGACATGGAGGTTGCTTAGACTAGACACCCGGTATTCCTCATCAGAAGTAGAGATGGTGACCGTGTAGGTCACAGCCATTGATGGAGAAGTTGTTAACCAAGGACCAGTGTTTGGGGAAGTAGCATAGGAAAGATGGATACGACAGTAATTATGGAAGGGGTGATTGATACTGGGGGAAATGGGGTCCAAGTGAAAACTCGTGACATTGGAGCAAGATCTCCTCCTTTAGCCCCTGCGGGAGAAGATGCTGACAATCTGCGACTCAGGGAATTGATAAGGATGTGTTATCTTGACGGGTTGATGCCTACTGGCATCGACCCGGGGGAGATGACAATTGATGGTAGAGAAGCACGGTTCAAAGTGAAAGTGGAGCTAGACCAGGCGAAGATCAATTGGTTGAAGGAACACACAATAACCTTCATCTTCATAGCTGGAGCGAGATTCCTCCCAAGAAATGTCAAGGATGACATCGTTCGAGCATACGAAGATAAGAAGACTGCAGACGGCACGTTCGAGGTCCAGAATTTCAGTTGTGGTCGAGTGAAGGTTGAAAGTCCGAACGTAGTCTCTTATGTAGCACGCACCAATGACATCGCGAGATGGCTGATCGAAAAAGGACAAGATGAAGTAACCCTCGGTTCTACTCAATACATTTTTGAGTTTAAATCGTGGCTTACGAAAGCTCAACTCCGTGCGCAACGTCAAAGGGAGGATGAACAACACTTCTGGGTAGTGGTTGTACAAGTGCCACTTGATGCTTTCCTGTCTCTAGAAGCACAAGTGAATAAGGCGATTGGGCCTGTTATGCGATCCTTCCCTCCATAACAAGATCGGATGCGTCCCACGTTGGTGAACATAAAGTTTGAAATCGAAACCTCGGCACGCTCGAATATGAAGGATAAAATATGGATTGACACCTCGGAGGGCGACTCTTTTGAGGTCAAATTGGCTTCTGCAGAGACCCCGGGATGTCATCGATGTCGAGCCTTCTTTCACTCTTAATCCGAGTGTAGAAGGAACAACCAACAGCAGAATCAAACTACATCAAGGTTTAGCTTCAATGCTCAATAAGCTGGTGGGCATGGTGCCACGTCTGCCACTGGGCCCGCGACCAGAATCTTCTGGAACTGCTGCGCCGCCAGCTGCTGCGACGTCCGTGCCACTTAGTGCTCCGTTGGGGAGTTTGGTACAAGGGAGTTCGCTCCACAATAATCCAATGTTCTCGCCAGGTATAGCGCCATACCAACTGGCTGGTTATCCGCTATACCCGACGATGCAGAATACCCATCTTCAGATGGGGCAGTATTGGAACCAGTCAATGGTTATGCCTTGGAGTGCTCCTCAGATGCAGTTTGGCGTACCACAGCAGCCGGGATTCATTAAGTCTTCCGCATCAGCCTTTGGTCCGCTTGTAAGTTAACCCCCTCCTATTGGAGGCGTGGCTATGACAATCTGTGATGGAAGCCCTATCATCAGGCCTCTGCTACAGCCAGTTATGCAACCGCCATCCCTGTTTTCAAGAGCTATGGAAACCCCATCAGCAAGTAGAGCCGGAGGAGGGCCGTCCGAGGTGCACTCTCCAAGACCACACAGCAGTTTGGCAGATAAGCAACGGCGACTCGACCATCAAGGGAGCTTCGTTTCAGAGAGAGGCAATTTGGACGGGGAGCATTCGGGTTCATCTCAGGGTTCAGACGCACATACTTCTGTGGCTGGCACCCCGGGCACCAAGACCACTCGACGATGCGTCCCGGTTTCATTGGTCAAAGGACAACTTCAAGACATCGAGAATAAGATCCTCCCGTTCTTTTGTGTGGCTGCCCGAAACGTTTTCTGGACAATTGCGTTCGAAAGCCCGGATGGATCTCTTGCGATGGTAAGTTTGCTTGCTCCCGAAACTTTGATGTCCTCTCCTATAGCAGTTTTGATCCGCACTGCAATTAGGGATAAATTTGCATTTCAGTTGATTCTCGATTTAACAATGATCAGGCTCCTCACGGATAATCCGGATCAGCGGGGGAAGAAGATTAAATTCTCCGTCCCTCTGCTTGATGTCCGTTTTTTAGATGGCTAACTAGAAACCCTGGAATCGTAAGGTCTGCGACTTATTCCGATTGCTTGGTTTGTGGAACGTAAGCGACAAGAAGTTTGTCGTATTCGCATCCCTCTATTGAGATCGGCAGAGTGCTTATTGGAATTGGAATCCAAACTTCCGAAGGAAAAGAAACTGAATTCTAATTTTGTACGGTTGGCGTTGACGTCTGCATGGCCTCTAGAGCCGACGTCGACCCCCTTAATCCAACAAAATTGGGGGGAGTAGTCCGCTCATGTCTAAGCTTAAAATGTTGAGTTGGAATCTCAGAGGAATAGGTGATTCGGGGGATAGGTGTAAGAAGGACAGATTAAAATCCTTGATTCACGAGAAGAAGATCTTCATTGCTTACTTACAAGAAACAAAATTGAGCGAGAAAAAAATGAACAATTTAGGTCGGTGGTGGGACGGCCCACAGATATGGTCCCCTGCGATTGGTTCGAGAGGGGGTGTGGAGATCCTCATCCACGGTAATTTTGATGCTGAGTTAATTGACTATTTCGGGATCTATGGGGGAGATGGGCGTGGGTGAAATTGCTGAAACAAGGGAAATACGGGATTATCGCTTCCATCTATGCCCCCACGGACCCTCGCAGAAGATTTTTTTTTTTGAAGAGCTTCTTTGTATTCTGCCAGAAGGTGATCACACTGTTCTAGCACGAGATTGGAACTCTTCTCTGGACCTTTGCTCGTCCCATCAGGGGGTGGCGGGCTCCCCAGACAAACTGTCACTCATAAACCTGATGAACTCTCTTGACTTAATTGATCCATATCGATTGTTGTATCCCGATAACGATGGGTTCACATGGTTTTCCAATCCGAGGGAGGATGTGGGAATTATTTGTTGTCGCCTGGATTTTTTCTTAATCACAGGTAATTGATGGGAATCTGTCTCTGATATTACCGAGTAGTCTAACCCCCTTTCTGACCATAAACCTGTTTTTCTCTCAATTCTTACATCAGAATTGACTCGAGGCCCGGGTCTTTTTCGTTTGAACACCCAGAACCTTCACGATGAAGGTTTGGTGAATTGGATGTGTAAGTACTGGATCAACTGGCAGTCTGTAAAGGATCGAT